GCCGGGTGGTGGCGAAGGGCTGGGCGCGGCCGATTAAAAAAATAACGAGAGAGGGGGAGAGGGCGAGAGAGAGATCGGGAGAGTGAGAGAGAGAGATGGGAGTGGCGGCTGGAAAAATGAGGGTGAGGGGAGGGATGATCATCTCCCTTATATAGGGCTAGGGCTTGTGACTTACCATACAAGTCACTTGCCCTAATTAACACCACCACACAAAAGGAAGGAGGGAGGGGTGCGCGCGGCTCACGGATGCCCGGCTTACGGGCGCGCAGCTTCGGCTCGAACATGCTCGGACGACGAGAATAAAATTACAATAATAATTAAAATATTTAAATTAATATTTAATATAAAAATACCGAAAATAATATATATATATATATAATAAACACAATTAGGCACATAAAAATTATTTAAGCATTTAGACAATTAACAATCAATCATAATAGCCACAGATAATGATAATAATAATAATAATAATAATAATAATAATAATAATAATAATCCAAATTATTCATAAACGAACGGGGCGTTACAGGGACGATGCAATCGGCGATAGCGAGCGGCAAATGAGTACAGGGCTTGCGGACATAGTCACTGGATGCTGGTAACACACGGTGGTCGTCGGCTGGCAGCAGGAGCGATCCGTCGTGCAAGCGGGCGTCGCTGGGAGCACGCGGTGAACGTCGCAAGGCGTCGCCGACTGCGTCTAGCTGGGCGCGATTGGTTGTGGCAGTGGGCGGTTGCGATCGGCTGGACACAGGCAACTTCCGACGGTGGTCGGCGGATTCCGGCGACTCCTCACGGCGGCAGACAGCGGCGATCGGCGGTGATGATGTGACCGGAAATATAAATGTATAAAGGCTCGAATAAATTGTACCTAAAAGCCATCTAACGGATTACCTGAACACCTACTTCGATTAAACTTGGTGGAGCGTTTAATCGAATTTCCCTAACTCTCGAACAATGTTATTCTCTCGTGTATGTAGAAGAGAAAAATCGGACACAACCCCCGATGTGAGAGTTATTTGCAGGTTTCCGGCGTTCTATCGACGAGGACATGAATCGATCTATCCCGAACCGGACCAGGACGCTTACGCTTGCATTATTGGCGCCGTCTGTGGGGACTTTCGTTAAAAAGTTGTGTTTGAAGCTCAGCTATGGCGGACGGAATTCCCAAAAACATGCAGTCAACGTTCGACGAAGCTTGGACGACGACCAGGCCGTTGGGGCACGACCCTCCTCCGGGTTTTTCCGGCCCATCGCAGACACCGATCACTCCGACGCCTATCCTTCAAGGTGTGGAAGTGACGACGGCGATCCCCGGAGGAGATTCCGGCTCCAGTCGGGCCCATGAGGCTCGCGCAGCAGCTGCGCCGGCGATGCCACCGCCACCGCCACTAAATCCAACGATGGCGCAGGGAGGAGCGCCACCACTGGCAACATCACAAACTCCTGCTTAACAGATGGTGGCGATGACCAGGGAGGAGATGCAGAAGATAGCGGCGGCCGCGGCGGCGCAGGCGGTGCAATAAGTTGCGAGCCACACATCTCATGCCACCACTGCGCCGACCACGGTGTTAGAAAGCCAAGACGAAGATGTATCCAGTTATGGAGATGGAGGAGTTGGAAGAGATCGGGCGATGCAGAGGATGGCGGAGAAGTTGCGTTTATTGCAGGACAAGGTGGAAGGGAGACTGGAAAGGAGAGCTCGAGGACACCCCTTTTCAAGGGAAATTCTCGTTGCTCCTGTGCCGAATAATTTCGAGACCAACTTGGTGTATGATGGGTCATCTGACCCGTCGAGACATGTGAGGAGATTTGAAAATATGGTTGTGTTGCATGGATACTCTGATTCTGTTTGTTGAAGGCATTTTTGTCGACCTTGCGTGGAGGAGCACTCGATTGGTTTCACCAACTTCCCCCCGGGTCGATTGCGGATTTTGAGGATTTTTCCAGCAATCTTACCAATCAATATTCGAGCGCGGTGGCGCAGGAGAAGACGTATTTGACTCTGATGGCGATGAGGCAAGGGGAGAAGGAGTCGTTGAGAAAGTACGTTGCTCGATATAATCAGACGTGTTTAGAGGTGCACTCGGCTTCAGACGAGGTGAAGGCAGGAGGATTGATAAGGATTCTTCGAGCGGGGCCTTGTCGAACTTCTTTGGCGAAGACCCCTGCTCGATCATATGAGGATGTTCTGAAGCGGTGCAGGAAGTATATTAATTTGGAGGAGATGGAGATGGAGTTTGCAAAGCTGGAAGGAGTGGCTCGACCAGAGCCAAAAAAGGAGAAAAGCCCGCAAAGAGAGAGATCGCCGAGGAGAAATTTTCCCAAACGGAGTGGGCAGAAGAGGGCATCACCCCGAAGAGAGAGTCGAGACTCAAAAAGGGAGAAGAGAGATGAGTGGCAGAGGAGGCCGATGTTGTTCGAGAGACAGAGATACCACACTTTTACGCCCTTGAGGAAAGACATGACACAGGTCCTCGAGGCCATGGAACAGAAGATGCCGAGCGAGGATGTGACTTGGCCGAAGACGAGGTTTACAGGCCCAATTCGGCCTAGGTCGGATATTTACTGTCGCTTTCACCGTGATTATGGTCACACCACGGAGAACTGTAGACATTTGAAAGATGAGATCGAGAGGTTGATTCGAGCGGGATATTTGACAGAATTTGTGTATCACGATAGGGTGAAAGGGAAAGGAAGGAGAAGGTGTAGGGAGGACTCTGAGGAAAGGAGCGATAGAGATAAGGAGGGAGACGGCGGAGATGGTCGAGGAAAGAAGCCAAGGAGAGATGGCGATAAGGGAGGGCATGGAGGAGAAGCCCCGATGAAGAGAAGAACAATTTACATGATTTCCGGTGAGCCAACGGATGGTGACTCGAATAGGGCCAAGAAGGAGCACGCTCGAGCTGTGAAGAGGAAGAGAGCGGAGGTGGGGATTACGGCTCGCATGTCGGTGATAAGTTTTAAGGCGGAGGATGCCGAGGGAGTGGTCCTGCCGTACAACGATGCTTTGGTAATAACCGCGGAGGTCGCAGGCTTCGATGTGAAAAGGGTGTTTATTGATACCGGGAGTTTGGTGGACGTGATGTTCTATGACTGTTTTGTACAAATTAACAAGGAGTTGAATACGGAGTTGAAGCCGGTGACCACGACACTCTATGGCTTTAATGGAGGAGAGGTGATGCCGATGGGCGAGGTGAGTTTGCCAGTGGCGCTGGGGGTGGGAGAGCTAAGGAAGGTGCGCATGGTAAGGTTTGTGGTCGTAGGGGCTGAATCATCATATAACATCATTATGGGGCGGACGAGCTTGAATGCGTTCTAGGCGGTCGTATCCACGTACCACATGACGATTAAATATCCAGTGGGCGAAAACGTAGGGGAGATTGTAGGGGACCAGCTCACTTTGAGGAGCTGCTATCAAACAATAGTAAGCAATAACAAGCAATTGGCGAGAAAGCAGGCCAAGCCAAAGGAGGAGGAGATTAATCGACCAGGTAGGTCGAGGTCGAAAGAGGATAAACAGAAAATGGAGAAGGGTAAGGAGAGGATGGATATTCAGCCGGGGGGAGAAGTGGAGGAGATTCAAATGATCGAGGGGTGTGAAGAGAGGAAGTTCAAAATCAGGAAAGGCTTGGAGGAGCCTATTCGGTCAAGGCTTATTGATCTGGTAAGGGAGTTCGCTGACATTTTTTCCTATACAACGGAAGAGTTGACGGGGATAAGTGCGGAAGTGATCGAGCACCGGCTGAACATCGACCTTAGTGTGAGGCCGGTGAAACAAAAAAGAAGACAGCATGGGGCGGAGATGGACAAAATCATTGAGAAGGAGGTCGAGAAGCTATTGGGAGCAGGGTATATCAAGGAAATCCAGTTCCTCGAATGGTTGTCAAATACGGTGATGGTGTCGAAGTCGGAGGGGAAATGGAGGATGTGCATTGATTTCCGTGATCTGAACAAAGTGTGCCCAAAAGATCTATATCCGCTGCCTAGAATCGACCAGCAGGTCGACTCAACGGCAGGGTGCGAATTACTGAGCCTGATGGATGCCTCCCAAGGATATCATCAAATTCCCTTGGCGAGAGAAGACGGGAAGCGGGTGAGTTTTGTAACAAATCGAGGGACCTATTGTTACGTGGTCATGCCGTTCGGTCTAAAGAATGTGGGTGCCACATATCAAAGGTTGGTCGATAAAATTTTTAAGGAGCAGCTGGGAAGGAACATGGAGGTATATGTGGACGATATGTTGGTGAAAAGCAAGGAGGAGTTGGATCATGTGCGAGACTTGAGAGAAACATTCCTAACGTTGCGGAGGTATGGGATGAAATTGAATCCTGCTAAGTGCTCTTTCAGGGTGAGATCGGGGATGTTCTTGGGTTACTTGGTGACCAAGAGAGGTATTGAAGTGAATCCTGAGAAGGTTCGAGCTGTAATTGAGATGAAGCCGCCGACGAATGTTGAAGAAGTGCAGATCTTAGCTGGTCGAATTGCAGGGCTGAGCCGTTTCATATCGAAGGTGGCGGAGAAGAGTGGGCCATTATTTAAAACATTGAAGAAGAGTGCAAAATTCCAATGGATAGAGGAGGCGCAGGGGGGCTTCGAGGAGTTCCGAGGGGTGTTAGCCAACCTTCCCCTATTGGCTAAAACCGTACAGGGCGAGGAGTTGGTGCTATACATTTCAATAGGAGATAGGGCGATGAGCTCGGTGTTGTTACGAGAGGAAGGAGTAGCACAATTTTCTATCTATTACGTGAGCAGGGTGATGCAAGGGGCGGAAATGAGGTATTCGGAGATCGAGAAGTGCGCTTTGGCAGTGGTCGTAACCGCTCGAAAAGTTGAGACCCTATTTCTTGAATCATAAGGTGAAGGTGCGAACAAACATGCCGCTGGGAGAAACACTTGGCCGACCATCGGTCTCCGGTCGATTAGTGAAATGGGCGGTCGAGTTGAGTGAATATTCTTTATTGTATGAACCAAGGAGGGCCATAAAGGCACAGGTGTTGGCCGATTTTATCCAGGAAGGCACGAAAGTCGAGGAGGAGTTATAGGGAGTATGGCAGCTGTTTGTGGATGGATTAGTGGCGCGAAGTGGGCCAGGTTTAGGAATTGTCCTTGTCTCTCCTAAGGGCGATTACCTGGAGTTTGCGGCCAAAGTGGGGTTCAAAATATTCAACAACGAAGCTGAGTACGAAGCAGTAATCAAAGGCCTGAGTTTAGCCAAGGCGGGGGGAGCTCGAAAAGTACAAGTGCATTCTGATTCTCAACTGGTGGTTGGGCAGTTCCAGGAGGGATTTGAAGTCAAGGAGAACCGGATGCAAAAGTATGTAGATGAGATGAGGAAGTTTAATGAGGAGTTCGATTCATTCGAGCTAATACAAATTCCTCGAGGAGAAAATGGTCGGGCGGACCTGCTATCAAAAATCGCTCAGAGCTTGGTGGATTGTAAGAGAAGAAGTGTTACTTTATTGCATCTTAAAAAGAGTATGGTCGAAGTAGAAGTGGCGGAGATCGAAGAAGTGGAAGATTGGAGAGCCCCAATCTTGAAGGAGCTGAAAGAAGAAATGGTAAAGGTGGTTAGGAGGTTTTTCGAGCATGGGGGTATTCTTTACAAACGATCGTATGGGGGACCACATTTGCGGTGTGTTACCAAAGAAGAGGGTCGATATGTGTTGAGAGAGATGTACGAAGGATGTTGCCGTGACCATAGCAAGTCAGGGGCTTTAGTCGCAAGGATTCTGAGGGCGGGATATTTTTGGCCAACGATGAGGGAAGACGCGAAAGCGATGGTGAAGAAGTGCTTGCAATGCCAAAAACATGGTCCTCTTATTCACCAACCGGCAGAAGCAATGACAATGACGAGTGCCCCTATACCATTCGCCCAGTGGGGTATCGACCTGGTGGGTCCGATGCCTCAGGGAACCGGGTCAGATGAAGTTCTTAATAGTGGCGGTCGATTATTTCACAAAATGGGTGGAAGCCGAGCCCTTGGCAAAAATAACGGAGGAGAAAATAATTAAATTTCTATACAATAACATCTTCTGTCGGTTTGGCGTACCCAAAGTGTTGATCTTCGACAACGGCACTAAATTCAATGGTAAGCGGATTCGAGCGTGGTGTGATGACATGAAAATCGAGCAACACTTTGCCTCCATTGCTCATCCGCAAGCCAATGGCTAGGTCGAGGTAACCAACCGAATTATACTGAGTGGGTTGAAAACAAAGTTGGAGAAGGCCTCGGGAGCATGGGTCGATGAGCTGAGTTCTGTACTTTGGGCATATCGCACAACCCCGAGGTCGACGACAGGAGAAACCCCGTTCAGCTTAGCTTATGGAATGGAAGCGTTGCTGCCGGTCGAGGTCGAGTTATCATCCCAGAGGTCGAGCACGTATGATGCTGAACAGAACGAGGAGCTGATGATGGCGGCCTTAGATACTATTGAGGAGCTGCGAAGGGAAAACAACAATCAGGGTGGAGGCGTACAAGCAAAGGATGCGAGCCGCTCATGGAAAAAAGGTGAAGATTCGCACACTCCAAGTAGGCGACCTGGTTTGGAAGCGTGTCGATGTGCTCAAGCATGTGGGAAAGCTGGAGCCGAATTGGGAAGGGCCATACCTGGTCGAGCGAGTGCACGCAGGAGGAGCGTACTCACGGAAGGATGCTGAGGGCCGATCGCTTGCTAGGTCATGGAACATAGCTAATTTAAAAAAATATTATGTGTGAAAATTTTCGTTTCTTTTAAAAGAAAGTTGGGAAATTCGAACAAAGATGTAAATTGCAAATTTTGCTCAAGAAACAATGAAGTACAATGATTTTTCTGATTTTATTCGCTTTATTGTACACTTTCTTATGCTTGGAATGTTGGTATAATCTGGATGACAGGATGTGTGTGTGGTATGGTTCGACTTGGAAGTCGCTTGTTTAGAACATTCCTTGGGGTGGCAGGTTGGTCGAAGACCTCCTGTTTAGAACATTCCTCGGGGTGGGCAAGTGTGAAGACCAAAACCCACCAGGACTAAGACCCTCGGGCTGGATGGTCGCTTGTTTAGAACATTCCTTGGGGTGGGCAGGTTGGTCGAAGACCTCCTGTTTAGAACATTCCTCGGGGTGGGCAAGTGTGAAGACCAAAACCCACCATGACTAAGGCCATCAAGCTGGGTGGTCGCTTGTTTCGAACATTCCTTGGGGTGGGCAGGTTGGTCGAAGACCTC